GTCTTATACACCGAAAAATACGGTAATCTAATTTTTCTAGACATTTGTATTGTTTATGGATTAAATAAACGTGATTTCTTCAGAAAGTTTTATCTACAGCTACTGAATGGTCACATTTTCTTTTCAACAATAAGGTTTTTAGATCGAATACAAATGATTCCAGTCCTCACTAATGTCTTTTTTGTTTTTGTTTTAATGAAATTAATGTGGTACAAGCATTTACTGTGAATTTTTCTCTCCTTCATGTCTAACTTAAGTGAAGAAAAGAAAAAAGACCATGAATGGCGTAGAGGCCTAATCTATTTGTCTGAATTTAAAGTATTTTAGTTATATTTCTTAGTAGTATAAATACATACTATGTTGTTGTTAGGCTTAGGATTCTTCTACAGTAGATGTCTGTGACTTGTTAGCGATAAATTCAACCATGAATAAATAGCTCGCACTTCATTTGTTTTAAAAATAATATATATATTCAGAACAAGTTAACGTATGTACAATAAATTCTTCAACACTATAGATATTATGGACATATTATAAATACTATATATATAGTTCTCTCCTTCTTGTCAAATATCCACTTAGGCCCATTCAATTATTTTAGAATTTCAGTTGACAAGCCGAACTATCTTCTCTATTTCTATTGCACTAATACTCTCTATGATTCATTTACAATTATGGCGCGAGTTACTGTAGTCGTTTGGTCTTTTTTCTTCTGAAGATCCTCTGCTCCTTTTGGTGGTTCTAAAGTAATTGAATCAGCCTGAGTGCACTTTGAGCTTTGACGGAATAAAATTATTTTTCTTATCTTCTTTTCTACTGTTAGTTTCATATATTCAACGTTAGGCCTATGTCAATCGTTAGGCCTATCACTTCTACTGTAGTTAACTTCACACCAACTTTATTCTCTTTTGCTATTATCTGTCTGCTGCTTCCCGCTCGTCTCACGCTATTTATATGTATATTACCTAATCGTCTGTCCACCTATATTCTTGGCATCAATATACTGCACGTGACGTTCGATATTCTCAACATCAATGAATTATTAACAAAACTTCCTACAATCATCTGCTTTTAACTCTTATTATGACAAAAACTAAACAATGATAAAATATTCAATAACAAAGCTAAATTAATCAATAATATCTGAACGAAACAGTCTTTTATATCATGACACTATTATTTTATTCGCTGAGACTTGGTTATAAGTCTGTGGGTAAAGAACTTCAACTAATCAGTCTCAAACATGAAAAGTGGGATCGATCGTACCGTTATTACGCCACTACCGCTGAAAGGGCGAGAATGATAGGTGACGGGATTCGAACCCGTAACCCCCAGTTGTACAATGAATAACACTTTACGGGGGGAGGGAGATATTGTTCACAGTGACAGATCGCAACTCGAAACAACTGGTGTTTTGTTTTCATATTATTCTATTGTGTATTGTTATTATGCTGCTATTCGTTAGCTAAATTGGTTTAGTACTGGTATAACGTAACAGTGATCAAAGTTCAGTCTTTTGTAGGCTTAATTATAGGTCACAAGTTCCTTAAGAATATGTGTATTGGTTCTAACATCAGTAAAAGACAATACCGAAACACGCCCCCCCCCTCTGTCAAAAAAAACAAACCCTGTTTCAAAGATTAAAGTAAAACATGGAGTTGTGTAAGTTTTGAGAAGTAATAAAAATTAAATACTAGCCCCCTCCCCCGGTAGTTCAATGGTAAGAAGGTTTATAATGCTAAAAAAACGTGACTCAGATACTTATGATAGCCCATTGTACAGTTTTTTGCTTAACAACGAACAGACAAACCTTTCCTCCAAAGTATCCAGTAAATTGTTGACTCCGATCTCTCTGTGCAGGAGCAAGAAGAAGGCATTTCTTTTTAATGCCGTTTTACATAGAAAGTTTTTTTTAAATGTGTTTGTACGCCAAGTCTAACATTTTCAAGTAATACAAAGCTAATTCATGCTCAAGTTAACATAAAATCAAATCATAATTTCATGTATAGATATTTAGTGCTAAAAATGCCAGATGGTCATAGCTGACGGTCAGTTAATTGAAATAATTGAAACCAAGTCAATATTTCGAATACCGTTAACACTTGCCAGGCTGTAGTTATCCTGAAAAATAACACTTTGTGTGTCTGTTACAGGATTTTATGATGTCATGATTTTGTCCCATTCAGACCATTTGTTAACGAGAATGTTTGATTTCTGCCACCAGGTAGTTCAAATCTCATAAATGTTTACTTTAGTTATTTTGCTTATTTGTTTAATTAAGCAACCCTGAGCACATTAATTACTGGACCATGCCAAACCTTACTTTAGTTATTAATTCACTTCATAATAGCACTGTGTCAAAAGACACGCCTTACAATCGGAAATCTTTCACAAGTTAAAATGATGTCATAAATATTTTGAAATCCAGTCTCACGGTACAGATAATTTCCAAAGTCCAAGTATTTATTTTGCCTGTTGCGTCCCCTAGTTGGCATAATTCAGTTTAACTAATGTTTATTATCAACCGATCGTATTATACGTGAATTAATATTTAATCTTAGGTAAAAGAAAATGTACTGACGCCTTTTCTCGAGTGTTTTTAGTGCTTACAATGTTGGAGTCTTCGTTAGGCACAATTTAATTAGTGTAGCACTAACTAGAAAAAGTAATAAGTCTAATTAGAAAGCGTGAACCTAACTGGAGAAACTAATAGGCCTAACTAGAAAGCGTGAACCTAACTGGAGAAACTAATAGGCCTAACTAGAAAGCGTAAGCCTAAGTTGAAAAATTAGTAAGCTTAACTGGAAAGCGTAGACATAAATGTAAAACTAGTAGGCCTAACTAGAAAGCGTAAGCCTAAGTTGAAAAATTAGTAAGCTTAACTGGAAAGCGTAGACATAAATGTAAAACTAGTAGGCCTAACTAGAAAGTGTGAGCTTAATTGTAAAAACTGGTAGGCGTCTTGATGCTTCTATATCTGTTACAGAAAAACTGAGCTTTGCTACAAAACTCCTGAAAGCTATACTTATTGAAAGTGAGTCGTGTTACATTTTTCTTGTTCTTTTACCAAAGTTGAAAGTTATAATCAAGTACGATTGATCTGACTGAACTTCGTCGTTGAAGTATCTGTTTTTAGTTTTTGAGTTTTTGCATTAGTTCTTTCACCCGTGAATAAGTCAAACCTTGACGCTATTTGTACTTAAGTCTTAAGTGTATTTGATGCTGTTCTTTTATCGCCCACACGTACGTGCGTGCACTCGTAGTAGTAGTTAAATTTTCCTTGATTTGTATATATTTTTGTACTTTCACCCTGACTTCTACCTGTTTAATTCTAGATTTTTGATCTTATAAAAGTTTGTGTTTATATGGGTATAAACTTAAGCTCTTTATATGAAAGTTTATGATATATTCCCTTTCTCAATATGAAATATTTGTTTGTTTGTTTTAGAGCAAAGCCACTTAATGGTATTTGTCGTATCCACTGCGGGGAAACAAACCCGGTTTTGAGCATTGTAGGTCCTTAGACTTGCCACTATCCCACCGGGGAATACGGACTCGACTTGGGAGTGAGAGGAATGGGGCACATACTTAACTTGGAAATCATATAAGGAATTAATCATCTGGGGTTTAAATTCCAGGAAGACAGAACCATATTCATTTTAGTGCTAATTCATATTTTATTTTTTGTTTACAAAACAGAGGGGGAAAGTGCCCCTTTTTTCTCTCCCTCATTATACATAAATGTTGGCGTTAGATTAGAACAGACATTATTTTTAATTCCATGTCATTCTTTTTTTAAACAAACCCCAAAAAGAACACGGACAAAGATATTTCTTTTCGTATTTATCAGGATACTTCCATTGCCCCAATAAGTTCTTTCTTTCCATATTCATATTTTTTCTTTTGTTTATTTGTTTTTAAACACAAAGTTCAATAGGTTATCTGTGCTGTGCTCACCAAAGGTATCGAAACCTAGTTTTTAGTGTTTCCGGCCATCAGACTTCCCGCTGAGCTACATTTTAGACACAGAAAGAGTTCGTGTAACAACTCTCTCTGTCTTTCTAATTCTCTCTCTCTATATAAAGCAGTTTTCTGTATGTTTGTTTATTATAAAAATGGTTAAATGAATACAAACGTATCATTCGAAGATTAATTAAATTAATAAACAAACAGAAGAACGGTTCGGGTTTGGTGGCCATTTCGATTTGATCGCCTTAATGTGGTGAACAACGGATCAACCGAGCGAAGAGTTTTGTATTAAGATACGTGAGACCGACTTCAAAAGAAAGCGATGGTTAATGCCGCACGTAGCACCTATACATCGGACGAACGGTTCGTGTGCTACGGCTCAACTAGTAGAAGGGAGAGACCCACGCCCTCATTTACAGCATTACCCAGTACCTGTGGTAGCAACTTTTGTAAAGTTGACTCTCTTAGTGTTCAGAAAGAGGGTGTGTGTGTGTGTGTGACACAACTATGATATTCCATATATAGATAGTTCACATTCCTAGCCTAAACCTAAAAGGATTGTGTGTCACAAATATTTTAATTCATATATAAAGTTGGCTCTCGTAACCTAAAGACAGGGATTTCGTGTCACAACTGTTGTGTTTCACACATAGAGTTGGCATTGTTGGGAATTTTCTAGGTTAAACGGTGTAACAAGAACATTACTGTGACGTGATGTAACACGTTTGTATTTTTAAAAAAATCTACAGTTCGTAGTTCTCGGGTTACCGACTTGTTTTTATACAGTCCAACACACCACGTATTGGACTTGTTTTTATACAGTCCAACATACCATGTATTGGACTTGTTTTTATACAGTCCAACATACCATGTATTGGACTTGTTTTTATACAGTCCAACACACCGTGTATTGGACTTGTTTTTATACAGTCCAACACACCATGTATTGGACTTGTTTTTATACAGTCCAACACACCATGTATTGGACTTGTTTTTATACAGTCCAACACACTATGTATTGAACTTGTTTTTATACAGTCCAATACATGGTGTGTGTGTGATTAGATACGGAGTATTTATTTTCTAAGACTGTTACATTTTTCAGTGTAAAGAACTGGCGGAAACAAATAATCCAATCACTCATTTTTTATATAGAAAACCTCTCGACGACTCAGCGGCATCTTACGGACTTACAACGTTAAAACCGAGTTTAGAAACTCGTGGTGGGCGCAGTACAGATAACCCATTGTGTAGCTTTGTGCTTAACCTCAAGCAAACGAACAAACAAAAATTTGCCCCACCCTAGGGCCCCAGTGGCTCGGCAGTAAGTCTGAAAGCTCAGAACACTGAAAATTAGGTTTCGATACCCGTAGTTGGGCATCGAACAGATAGCCCACTCTGTACGTTAACGACAAATAAACAAACACAAACAATTTGGGGCATGATGATATACGGAAAGTTGTTTTTGGAATGCCGAAGGGATTTTTCTAGGGCTGAAATCTGACCCTTATTTCATGGGTGAACGCTCCGTTATTGAGTGGATATACTATTCTTATAGATTTTATGATTAGACCTAGTCTCGCCGTTCAATTCCATCATACATATGACTTTCACGTACGGCCAGCGTGATGAATTTAAAATGAGCTCAAAACTACTAAACTAACGAAAAAAGAAACGTACTTTGATAACTGATCCTTAGCTATAGAAATGATATATATGTTGACGTTTTCAGATCTATAAACATCTTCCGTTTCACTTATTTTAATTTTTTTTTCCTCTTTCTTTCAGAAACTGATTGGTTCTACATCGGCAGCAGACTTTTTATTGCCGGATAGACTTTGAAGATGGCGGATATAACTCAAGAAAATATTGCTAAGAAAATACACGAGATCCCGGAGCATTACTTGGGTATGGTGATTCATTTTTTCATGCATTTTCACAACGACACCACGGACTTCAAGACGCCACATCTGCGCCCGGCACTGAAGAACGTTTTTCCCCTGTACTTGGTGCTCTACGGTCTGGTAGGGGCCGCCGGTCTGTTTCTCAACGCGAACATGTTGCGCCGAATCCTTCTACGCAGGAAACACTGCGAGAACATAGAGAAGTACCTGGCTAGCAACGCCTTGAACGACATGTTTAAATGTATCGTCGTTATGCCGGTTTCCTTGGCAACGCTCGCTCTACAGAATTGGATTCTTGGGAGATTCCTCTGTCACTTTCTCCCGATAGCGCAGGACGTTCCTTTTTACGCCACGTTCCTCACGTTCTTGAGCATAGCCTTTGACCGATACAAAGCCATTCTAAATCCATTGAAACCACGAAATATCGCCGGATTCTGGCTTTTAGGGACTTGGGTGTCGAGTTTCCTTGTAGCCCTGCCGTACAGCGTGTACTCGGAGTACGTTGATTTGGAAAAATACTTTGGCGAGCAGTTTAAAGGTGTCGGAATATGCGTTGTTAATGTGGAAAACAACATCGAGGAGTTCATCCGGGCTCTTTTCATCGTTCTCTATGCCACACCCGCTGTTCTCATCATGTATCTCCATCTTAAAGTCACTGTGGAAATCAACAATCGCAACAATGCTTTTCATTCAAATGGCCAAAGATCTCAAATGTTGAGCCACGAGGACATCTCTGTTTCTTCTGTGGCGACATCTAGCGTCATGGAAACGAGAAAATCCTCTGCTGTACCTCTTCCCGTTGGCATTGAAGACGTGTCAAGAGGTCCCAGTAGCGATACCGCTGGTCAGAGTCTAGGGACTGGAGTAAGACGATATCGACATCAGGATGACGACGACTTCGACTGGGATCGAGAAAGGGTGGTCCAAAAATGCTTCTTCATGATGGCACTTTTTTATGCGTTCTGCTTATTCCCACTACACGTGACCCGGCTGGTGAAGCACGTGGTCACAGAAACAGTAGAACACACTTCTCATTTTGACCTGGCCTTCATCAATGTGGTTTTAATTGCCCTTCTTCCAACTATTGTCACTCCCGTACTCCATCGTTCTATGGACTCTCGCGGGGCTCCTAGAGGAGACTCGGGTAACTACCTGACTCTTAAGAAACATACTTCAAACTTGTCTCTTCAACGTATTGGAAGCGAAATTCACGAAGATAGATACAAGAAACCAATCTCTCCTACCGACAAGCTGTGTCAGAATCACAAAGAAGATGGGTGTTGATAAAGTTCCCCCTAACAGAATGGGTAAAGAAGTTGGGTGTTGTTAAAGTTCCCCTAACAGAATGGGTAAAGAAGTTGGGTGTTGTTAAAGTTCCCCTAACAGAATGGGTAAAGAAGTTGGGTGTTGTTAAAGTTCCCCTAACAGAATG